AAACCTCCATAGCAGGAACAGGGGGCGCAAGCACTGAAACGGGAGTGGAAGGAGCAACAGAGCCAGAAGGAGGAGCTGAGGAAGAAAGCGAAGCCTTCTTACCCGCCGGGGAAGAGGAAGGAGAGGAGCCAGGCTTACGCTTCTGACTTAAAGAGACCGGTGTCCCAGCAACTACGTACCGGGCAACGGATTCCAGTGTCTCAACAGGAGAAGCCGAACGAGAGCACACACGACGGCCGTTAGGAGAGCGATGGACATCCGCCCGCACCGACAGGCGGCGGGGAGAGCCGATAGATGGAGGAAGAGGATGGGAAGGAGGATCGGAGGGGGACGAGGAAGGAGACACAGAAGACACGACAGACCGGGTAGAAGGAAGGGGAACCCCAGACAGAGGACCAGGAGGAGGATCCTTCGGGAGAGAACCCAAAGGGACAGAGGAGGGGGCAGTGGGCGCATCAGGGTCCAAGGCCTGGAAACGGTTGTGAGTCTGAGGAAGGCGGGAAGGACGAGGAGAGGAAGAGCGCAACACGCGAGCATAAGAGATATTAGCATAAGGCGGGAGCCGGCGAACCTGGCGCCTCGCCTCAGGAAAAGATAAACGCTCCCGGTGCTTCAAGTTGAGGACGGCTGCCTCAAGCTTGTAATGGACACACGCACGGGAGAAGGTAGGATGGGCCTCACCGCAGTTGAGGCAACGAGCCTGGGGAGAAGCGCACTCCGACTTAGAGTGACCTTCGCCACCACACAAAGGACAGAGAGAGACAGTCCCGGAGCAGCGGAGGGCACCATGCCCAAACCTCCAGCACTTGTTGCAGAGCCGAGGAGAAGGAATGTACTCCTGGACAGAGCACCTGGCACCAGCAAGAATGACAGAGGGTGGAAGGGTCCTACCATCAAAGGTAATCTTCACAACCCGGAGGGGTTGACGGCGACTACCACGAGGGGGACGAGTAAACGTGTCCACCTGGAGAATAGAATGGCCCTGGGCAGCGAGGATATGTCGAATATCGTCGTGGCAGTCGTGTAGGTCCCGAACACCGGTCGCAACATGGGGCGGGAGCAAAATAGTGCCAACACTGGCATTCAACTGAACGTTCTTCGAGACCCGAACGGGGGTCTCGCCAAGGCAGGATAAGGCAGCCAAGCGGGAAGCAGCATCCTGAGAAGGAGCAGCAACGACACGCGTACCGAGACGAGTGGGGTTAAAAGTAATGGAGGCATCCACGGAATCAATGAGATGTCGATGAAGGGAGAAATCGTCAGGAGGCGCAGAATCAAGAGGGAGGAGATCAAAATATTTGGCCCACGAAGCGGGACCAAACAAGGCTTGATAGGTAGCAGAACTGGAAGGAATCGAGCGAGGGCGGCCGTGACGAGAACGGCGGTGAGAACCCCCAGAGAGAGAGGGGTTAAAAGGCGCAGTAGTTACAACTAGAGAAGGAGCCACGCCAGGGGACGAGGTAGTCACCACTGGGGGCTTGGGGCTCGACCCAACCACAGAGGAGGGAGGGGAGCCAGGGGAAGGAGTCAGAGAGGCCAAAGGAGGAGCAAGGTCGGGGCCCAATGCAGCGGAGGCTACAGAGCCCGGTCTTCCAATACGGACCGACTCGGGGGCTTGGTCGCCCACCCCACGAGCCTGAAAAGGTAAGCCAGAAGCAGCCGAAACAGGGGTTATCATCTCGACGAAATTACGAATTCACTCACGAATGTGCCCCCACACCCACCATGGAGCCACAATTAGAGGCAGGACACCCAACAAGAAGCTATCGCCGATCTTGTCGGGGCCTCCTAGGGGTGCGTCGTGAGTATACGCCCCACAAACGCCACCTTAAGAAACCGACAGTCCGTCGAGATCGGGTTCAGTGACGAAGTGGGGATTGACAATAAAAGGTTCCCCTCGCTCTCGACGTCGGGTACTGCAGTTCTACGGGTGCAAGAGTATGCCTCCTCAAGCACCCGGGCGTCAAAGTAGAAGAAGTCCAAGGGAAGAACCAGAACGAGCAAAAGGTCGGCAGGAAACGGCAAGCAGATAGGAGAAGAGGGGGGAGAAAAACGAAACAGAAGGAAAAGGAAAAGATGCCCAGCAGAATTGGAGAGGACGGCAGCAGGAGCACAAGGCTAGAAAAGGACAGAGGACTGTCCCAAGGAGCATCACACTCCGGCAGCCGCCCACTAAGCCCCCAGACGGCGACAACGAGCTGAGCGGGGAGGGGGAAGGCTCCAGGTAAGGTGGTGATACCTGGCTTGACCAGGAGGCTCCAGGTATGGTGGTGATACCTGGCTTGACCAGGAGGCTCCAGGTAAGGTGGTGATACCTGGCTTGACCAGGAGGCTCCAGGTATGGTGGTGATACCTGGCTTGACCAGGAGGCTCCAGATACCTGGCTTGACCAGGAGGCTCCAGGTATGGTGGTGATACCTGGCTTGACCAGGAGGCTCCAGGTATGGTGGTGATACCTGGCTTGACCAGGAGGCTCCAGGTATGGTGGTGATACCTGGCTTGACCAGGAGGCTCCAGGTATGGTGGTGATACCTGGCTTGACCAGGAGGCTCCAGGTATGGTGGTGATACCTGGCTTGACCAGGAGGCTCCAGGTCCAGTGGTGGTGATACCTGGCTTGACCAGGAGGCTCCAGGTATGGTGGTGATACCTGGCTTGACCAGGAGGCTCCAGGTGTGGTGGTGATACCTGGCTTGACCAGGAGGCTCCAGGTATGGTGGTGATACCTGGCTTGACCAGGAGGCTCCAGGTATGGTGGTGATACCTGGCTTGACCAGGAGGCTCCAGGTATGGTGGTGATACCTGGCTTGACCAGGAGGCTCCAGGTGTGGTGGTGATACCTGGCTTGACCAGGAGGCTCCAGGTGTGGTGGTGATACCTGGCTTGACCAGGAGGCTCCAGGTGTGGTGGTGATACCTGGCTTGACCAGGAGGCTCCAGATGTGGTGGTGATACCTGGCTTGACCAGGAGGCTCCAGGTATGGTGGTGATACCTGGCTTGACCAGGAGGCTCCAGGTATGGTGGTGATACCTGGCTTGACCAGGAGGCTCCAGGTATGGTGGTGATACCTGGCTTGACCAGGAGGCTCCAGGTGTGGTGGTGATACCTGGCTTGACCAGGAGGCTCCAGGTATGGTGGTGATACCTGGCTTGACCAGGAGGCTCCAGGTATGGTGGTGATACCTGGCTTGACCAGGAGGCTCCAGGTATGGTGGTGATACCTGGCTTGACCAGGAGGCTCCAGGTATGGTGGTGATACCTGGCTTGACCAGGAGGCTCCAGGTGTGGTGGTGATACCTGGCTTGACCAGGAGGCTCCAGGTATGGTGGTGATACCTGGCTTGACCAGGAGGCTCCAGGTATGGTGGTGATACCTGGCTTGACCAGGAGGCTCCAGGTGTGGTGGTGATACCTGGCTTGACCAGGAGGCTCCAGGTATGGTGGTGATACCTGGCTTGACCAGGAGGCTCCAGGTATGGTGGTGATACCTGGCTTGACCAGGAGGCTCCAGGTATGGTGGTGATACCTGGCTTGACCAGGAGGCTCCAGGTATGGTGGTGATACCTGGCTTGACCAGGAGGCTCCAGGTAAGGTGGTGATACCTGGCTTGACCAGAAGGCTCCAGGTATGGTGGTGATACCTGGCTTGACCAGGAGGCTCCAGGTATGGTGGTGATACCTGGCTTGACCAGGAGGCTCCAGGTAAGGTGGTGATACCTGGCTTGACCAGGAGGCTCCAGGTATGGTGGTGATACCTGGCTTGACCAGGAGGCTCCAGGTATGGTGGTGATACCTGGCTTGACCAGGAGGCTCCAGGTAAGGTGGTGATACCTGGCTTGACCAGGAGGCTCCAGGTATGGTGGTGATACCTGGCTTGACCAGGAGGCTCCAGGTATGGTGGTGATACCTGGCTTGACCAGGAGGCTCCAGGTATGGTGGTGATACCTGGCTTGACCAGGAGGCTCCAGGTATGGTGGTGATACCTGGCTTGACCAGGAGGCTCCAGGTAAGGTGGTGATACCTGGCTTGACCAGGAGGCTCCAGGTATGGTGGTGATACCTGGCTTGACCAGGAGGCTCCAGGTATGGTGGTGATACCTGGCTTGACCAGGAGGCTCCAGGTATGGTGGTGATACCTGGCTTGACCAGGAGGCTCCAGGTGTGGTGGTGATACCTGGCTTGACCAGGAGGCTCCAGGTATGGTGGTGATACCTGGCTTGACCAGGAGGCTCCAGGTATGGTGGTGATACCTGGCTTGACCAGGAGGCTCCAGGTATGGTGGTGATACCTGGCTTGACCAGGAGGCTCCAGGTATGGTGGTGATACCTGGCTTGACCAGGAGGCTCCAGGTATGGTCATGATACCTGGCTTGACCAGGAGGCTCCAGGTATGGTAGAGGAAGCGGTCAGTGTAACACACACAGTGAAGGAACACAACAACTTAGCCAGACTAAGCATCCTGGTTTAGCAGTAAGCTGTAGTAAGCCAGAGTTATAATTTGTACAATATGAGGCTAGTTTAACATTATATGAGGCTAGTTTAACATTATATGAGGCTAGTTTAACATTATATGAGGGTAGTTAAGCACTATATGAGGCACGTTTACCACTATATGAAAGTAGTTTAGTACCATAGGGGGGGGGGGAATGTGCTTGTATGGGGAAGGGTGACTCAGCTAGTATAGGGGGGAGGGGGTGCGGGAGGCGGGGGGAGGGGAAGGGAATAATGAGGGGAGAGCATCAAGCCACCTTTGCGGGCTCGCCATAGCCGGTGCTACACGGACATTTCGTGGTGAGTAGCTAAATCTAAAACAACAACAGCCAAGCCACCGGGGTGAGGGGAGGTAAGCCACCGGGGTGAGGGGAGGCAAGCCACCGGGGTGAGGGGAGGTAAGCCACCGGGGTGAGGGGAGGTAAGCCACCGGGGTGAGGGGTGGTAAGCCACCAGGGTGAGGGGAGGCAAGCGACACAACACGAGACAACCAGAGCAGGAGAGTGGGTGTTGACCTCCGAGGGCGTGGGTGTGGGGTGGGCGAGGGCGGCCGGTCCAGGCGAGCATCACCATGGTGGGCGGCCGGCGGGCAGTGGGCGCGTTGAGGAGGCAGGCTGGGTGGGCGCAGGGAGTCGGGCGGGCGCTGGGTGAGGAGAGCCGCCCACGGGTATCCAGGCCCATAGGCGGGGTGTTGCCCTGGCGGCTGGTGGTGCAACTACACGGGGCGGCACGGAGCTGTGAGGTGCGTGCCAGGCGGGCGGGCGTGGACACGGCACACCCCTCGGGGCAAACTTATGGGGCGTGCCCCACAAACCTCTCTCCCAGACTGCGGGTGCAGGCCCTGGTGTGTGTGAGTGTGGGGGGGGGGGGCACTAGCAGGGGTGCGGCGGGGTGAGGAGGAGGGGGAAGGTGGCACTAGCACACAGGGTGCCACCCGGGGCGGGGGCAGCTGTCACCTGTGAGCAGCTGGGGCGCTCCCGGCCCCCCTGGGCACCAGCTGCATCCACTCCTGCTCCTCCACGCCCTCTCCTCCTCCCCTAGTGCTGGGGCCTGGCGGGGCCTGGCGGGGCCTGGTGGGGGCCTGGTAGGGCTTTGTGCAGCCTGGCGGGGCCTGGTGGGGCCTGGCGGGGCCTGGTGGGGCCTGGCGGGGCCTGGCGGGGCCTGCTGGGGCCTGCTGGGGCCTGGCGGGGCCTGGCGGGGCCTGGCGGGGCCTGGCGGGGCCTGGCGGGGCTTGGTGGAGCCTGGCGGGGCCTGGCGGGGCTTGGTGGAGCCTGGCGGGGCCTGGCGGGGCTTGGTGGAGCCTGGCGGGGCCTGGCGGGGCTTTGTGAAGCCTGGCGGGGCTTGGCGGGGCTTGGTGGAGCCTGGCGGGGCCTGGCGGGGCTTGGCGGGGCTTGGTGGAGCCTGGCGGGGCCTGGCGGGGCTTGGTGGAGCCTGGCAGAGCCTGGCGGGGCTTGGTGGAGCCTGGCGGGGCTTGGCGGGGCTTGGTGGAGCCTGGTGGAGCCTGGCGGAGCCTGGCGGAGCCTGGCAGTGCCTGGCGGAGCCTGGCAGAGCCTGGCGGGGCTTGGTGGAGCCTGGCGGGGCTTGGCGGGGCTTGGCGGGGCTAGGCGGGGCCTGGCGGGGCTTAGTGGAGCCTGGCGGGGCTTGGCGGGGCCTGGCGGGGCCTGGCGGGGCCTGGCGGGGCCTGGCGGGGCTTGGCGGGGCTTGGCGGGGCTTGGCGGGGCCTGGCGGGGCCTGGTGGAGCCTGGCGGAGCCTGGCGGAGCCTGGCAGTGCCTGGCGGAGCCTGGCAGAGCCTGGCGGGGCTTGGTGGAGCCTGGCGGGGCTTGGCGGGGCTTGGCGGGGCTTGGCGGGGCCTGGCGGGGCTTAGTGGAGCCTGGCGGGGCTTGGCGGGGCCTGGCGGGGCCTGGCGGGGCCTGGCGGGGCTTGGCGGGGCTTGGCGGGGCTTGGCGGGGCCTGGCGGGGCCTGGCGGAGCCTGGCGGGGCCTGGCGGGGCCTGGCGGGGCCTGGCGGGGCTTGGCGGGGCTTGGCGGGGCCTGGCGGGGCCTGGCGGGGCCTGGTGGGGCCTGGCGGGGCCTGGCGGGGCCTGGCGGGGCCTGGCGGGGTCTGGTGTGGTTACAAACTAAATGTTTCTACACTGCCACACCTTACACTTGTAATACTCCTTAACCTGCTCACGTTGAGCGCCTGGTGTGGGAGCAACAGCCCACGTTGAGCACCTGGTGTGGGAGCAACAGCCCACGTTGAGCGCCTGGTGTGGGAGTAGGGGCGGCCTCCACCCCTTCAACGTTCAAGACACAGTGGAGGCAAATAAGGCCTAGGAGGAGGTACACACTTCACACACCAGCTTCCCGATCAAAACTGGCAGGCTGGCACGGGCCTCTACCTCTCCTTCCCCACCATCTGTCACCCCGCCGCTGGGCAGATGGGAGGGGGAGAGGGGTGATGGGAGGGGGCGGGGAGGGGCGTTGTTACTTCCAACCCTCTTAACACTGGCGCCATGTGACACGTCTAACAGCAAGGCCCTCCTCAATACATCAGATACAACAGCAGGCTACACCCTTTTCTCTATACCCAGCCGTGCTTCAGTACACCGGAGGCAGCAGTATTCTACACAACCGTTCTCCCTCTCACACCTGAAACATGCAGTCATGCCTTCACACACCTGGCCCAGCGCTCTGCTTGACAAGTCCTCCACTCCACCTGAACAACGTATCATTGCCACAGTGGCCGAGAACAATTCTGCAATCTGTGGCAGCTGCATGCCATCCGCAGCTTGTCAATCACGCACAAAGGTGGAGAATATCAAGAGGTTTACAGCAAGATGTGTCACTAACTTCTTGGCACTCTCAACGGCACAATGAAGGTGAACACAAATTGGTAACACAACAATATTATATATATATATATATATATATATATATATATATATATATATATATATATATATATATATATATAACTGAAAACTCACACCCCAGAAGTGACTCGAACCCATACTCCCAGAAGCAACGCAACTGGTATGTACAAGACGCCTTAATCCACTTGACCATCACGACCGGACATAATGAGGTGATAGCCGAGGCTATTTGAACCACCCCACCGCCGGCACTCGGATAGTAATCTTGGGCATAGCATTTTACCAAATCACCTCATTCTTTGGGGCACACGTGAGGAACACAAATGCGAACAAGCCTGAATGGTCCCCAGGACAATATGCAACTGAAAACTCACACCCCAGAAGTGACTCGAACCCATACTCCCAGAAGCAACGCAACTGGTATGTACAAGACGCCTTAATCCACTTGACCATCACGACCGGACATAATGAGGTGATAGCCGAGGCTATTTGAACCACCCCACCGCCGGCACTCGGATAGTAATCTTGGGCATAGCATTTTACCAAATCACCTCATTCTTTGGGGCACACGTGAGGAACACAAATGCGAACAAGCCTGAATGGTCCCCAGGACAATATGCAACTGAAAACTCACACCCCAGAAGTGACTCGAACCCATACTCCCAGAAGCAACGCAACTGGTATGTACAAGACGCCTTAATCCACTTGACCATCACGACCGGACATAATGAGGTGATAGCCGAGGCTATTTGAACCACCCCACCGCCGGCACTCGGATAGTAATCTTGGCATAGCATTTTACCAAATCACCTCATTCTTTGGGGCACACGTGAGGAACACAAATGCGAACAAGCCTGAATGGTCCCCAGGACAATATGCAACTGAAAACTCACACCCCAGAAGTGACTCGAACCCATACTCCCAGAAGCAACGCAACTGGTATGTACAAGACGCCTTAATCCACTTGACCATCACGACCGGACATAATGAGGTGATAGCCGAGGCTATTTGAACCACCCCACCGCCGGCACTCGGATAGTAATCTTGGGCATAGCATTTTACCAAATCACCTCATTCTTTGGGGCACACGTGAGGAACACAAATGCGAACAAGCCTGAATGGTCCCCAGGACAATATGCAACTGAAAACTCACACCCCAGAAGTGACTCGAACCCATACTCCCAGAAGCAACGCAACTGGTATGTACAAGACGCCTTAATCCACTTGACCATCACGACCGGACATAATGAGGTGATAGCCGAGGCTATTTGAACCACCCCACCGCCGGCACTCGGATAGTAATCTTGGGCATAGCATTTTACCAAATCACCCCATTCTTTGGGGCACACGTGAGGAACACAAATGCGAACAAGCCTGAATGGTCCCCAGGACAATATGCAACTGAAAACTCACACCCCAGAAGTGACTCGAACCCATACTCCCAGAAGCAACGCAACTGGTATGTACAAGACGCCTTAATCCACTTGACCATCACGACCGGACATAATGAGGTGATAGCCGAGGCTATTTGAACCACCCCACCGCCGGCACTCGGATAGTAATCTTGGGCATAGCATTTTACCAAATCACCTCATTCTTTGGGGCACACGTGAGGAACACAAATGCGAACAAGCCTGAATGGTCCCCAGGACAATATGCAACTGAAAACTCACACCCCAGAAGTGACTCGAACCCATACTCCCAGAAGCAACGCAACTGGTATGTACAAGACGCCTTAATCCACTTGACCATCACGACCGGACATAATGAGGTGATAGCCGAGGCTATTTGAACCACCCCACCGCCGGCACTCGGATAGTAATCTTGGGCATACCATTTTACCAAATCACCTCATTCTTTGGGGCACACGTGAGGAACACAAATGCGAACAAGCCTGAATGGTCCCCAGGACAATATGCAACTGAAAACTCACACCCCAGAAGTGACTCGAACCCATACTCCCAGAAGCAACGCAACTGGTATGTACAAGACGCCTTAATCCACTTGACCATCACGACCGGACATAATGAGGTGATAGCCGAGGCTATTTGAACCACCCCACCGCCGGCACTCGGATAGTAATCTTGGGCATAGCATTTTACCAAATCACCTCATTCTTTGGGGCACACGTGAGGAACACAAATGCGAACAAGCCTGAATGGTCCCCAGGACAATATGCAACTGAAAACTCACACCCCAGAAGTGACTCGAACCCATACTCCCAGAAGCAACGCAACTGGTATGTACAAGACGCCTTAATCCACTTGACCATCACGACCGGACATAATGAGGTGATAGCCGAGGCTATTTGAACCACCCCACCGCCGGCACTCGGATAGTAATCTTGGGCATAGCATTTTACCAAATCACCTCATTCTTTGGGGCACACGTGAGGAACACAAATGCGAACAAGCCTGAATGGTCCCCAGGACAATATGCAACTGAAAACTCACACCCCAGAAGTGACTCGAACCCATACTCCCAGAAGCAACGCAACTGGTATGTACAAGACGCCTTAATCCACTTGACCATCACGACCGGACATAATGAGGTGATAGCCGAGGCTATTTGAACCACCCCACCGCCGGCACTCGGATAGTAATCTTGGGCATAGCATTTTACCAAATCACCTCATTCTTTGGGGCACACGTGAGGAACACAAATGCGAACAAGCCTGAATGGTCCCCAGGACAATATGCAACTGAAAACTCACACCCCAGAAGTGACTCGAACCCATACTCCCAGAAGCAACGCAACTGGTATGTACAAGACGCCTTAATCCACTTGACCATCACGACCGGACATAATGAGGTGATAGCCGAGGCTATTTGAACCACCCCACCGCCGGCACTCGGATAGTAATCTTGGGCATAGCATTTTACCAAATCACCTCATTCTTTGGGGCACACGTGAGGAACACAAAGGTGATAGCCGAGGCTATTTGAACCACCCCA